AAGGGTCCAGACCCGAAACGTCAGCTTTCCTGCTCCTCTGATGCTGCTTGGCCTGCTGTGTTCATCCAGTTCTACACCGTGTTATCTCAGATTGATTAATCTGTTGGTGAGGATCACCATGCAACAGATGGAGGATGCCAACAGCCAAATTTGAGGGTACTCCATAAACCCTCTCAGTTGACAATTAAAGTTTATCATTATGATTAAAGAAAGTAATGTATTAAGGTTGCTGGTGCTTTATACATGGACTTTAGTAAAGCCTTTGACAAAGTTCTGCATGGTTGATTAATTAGTAAAGTTATATCACAAGGATTCAGGGTGAGCTTGCCAATTGGATACAAAATTGGTTTGATGGTAGGAGACAGGGTGTAGTGGTGGAGGGTTATTTTTCAGACTGGAGGGCTTGGCCAGTGGTGTTCCATAGGTATCATTGCTGGGTCCAATTTTGTTTGTCATTTATATAAACAATTTGGATGAAAATTTAGGTGGCATGGTTAGTAAGTTTGCGGATGACACCAAAATTGGTGGTATAGTTGACAGTAAAGGTTACAAAGGAATCTTGATCAGTTGGGCCAATGGGCTGAGGAGTTTTAATTTGGATAAATGCAAGATATTATATTTTGGTAAAGCAAGGGCATGACCTTTACAGTTAATGGCAGAGCCCTGGGTAGTGTGGTCAAACAGAGAGACCTATGGGTTCAGGAACATAGTTTCTTGAAAGTTGCATCACAGGTAGACAGGGTGGTTAAGAAGGCATTTAACATGCTTGCTTTCATTATTCACAGCATTGAGTATAGAGGTTGGAGTGTCAAATTGGGGTTGTACAGAACGTTAGTGATGCCATGTTTGGAGTACTGTGCTCAGTTCTGGTGGCCCTGCTATAGAAAAGATATTGTTAAATTGGAGTGGGTTCAGAAAAGATTTGCCATGATGTTGCTAGGACTAGAGGGTTTGAGTTATAAGGAAGGCTGGATAGGCTGGGACTTTTTGAGGGGTGATTTTATAGAGGTTTATAAAATCATAAAGGACTCAGATAAGGTGAATAGCAAAGATTTTTTTTTCCAGAGTAGGGAAATTCAAAACTAGGGGGCATATTTTTAAGGTGAGAGGAGAAAGATTTAAAAGCAACCTGAGGGGTAACCTTTTCGTACAGATGGTGGTTCATATGTGGAATGAACTGCCAGAAGAAGTGGTAGATGGATGTACAGTTACAACATTTAAAAGACATTTGGACAGGTATATGAATAGCAAAGGTTTAGAGGAATATGGGCCAAATGCAGGCAAGTGGAACTAGTTCAGTTTGGAAATTTGGTCGGCATGGACGAGTTGGACCAAAGGGTCTGTTTCCATGGCGTATAACTCTATGACTCTATGTTGATGCTCATGACAACAGTGCATGCCATCTATAAGATGCTCACCGATATTTGGTTGACAGTGCATCCCAATCTGTTATCTCTACCACATAAAAGGATAAGGGTAGAGGGCAGATTCTAATGTATGTCAAATACAGCCTGACTTGAACCTATCTTACTATTCTCTCATTATTGCTGGTAAAAATTCTGAAACTCCCTACGTAAGTAGTGTTTTGGGTGTAACTTTACCACATGGACTGCAACAGGTCACAAAGTAGGCTCACAACCCCAACTCAATGGCAACTGGTCACTGGCAGTAATGTCATCAACATCCACATCCCACAAATGAATGATAAAAGATTAATATTTTAAATGTATGAAACAAAATTTGTTCCTTTCACTTGTACGATAATCTAACCGGTGTAGTTCTGTATGCATTAATGCATTCTTACTGGAAACTGCCGCAAAATGAACTACAGACATTCTTGAATTATTATAAACACACAGTTCATTCAAAAAGATTAATAATTTTGCAATGTACTGTATATATGAGACAAGAGCAGTCATTGTATTTCTTCTCAGAAAGGACAAATAAAATGCACCTGTTCTCTAATTATTGTGAGTTCAGACACAATTTTCTCTACACTGCTGTCACGATCTTTTTTGTCTTTTCCAAAAGCTGGGTTGTGCAAATTAACTTCTTTCATCGCTAGCAGATTCTGTCCACTGTATTTCCTAACCTGTAGATTCAAGAAAAGATCTAAAATATACATTTAATCTGTCTGTTGTAGAAAGCTAACAAAACCTTACAATAAAAAAGAAAGGCTTACCTTACAAACATTACCAAATGCTCCACTCCCAAGATAGTCTAAAATGGCATAATTACCAATAAATTTTGTTGGGGCTTTATTTTGATTAACTCCTTCTATATTTTCAGTGATTTGTTTTAGTTCATCAGTCTAGATATAAAATTGTAATACAAGTTACAAATATTCAATGAAAAAAGAGAACCTTAAAGATATATTCGTTGAATTAGAGTTCTTCACTTACAGTTAAAGAGTTTAACTTCGTGACCAAGTTTTCATATGCATGGATGTCACGGGCATAATGTCCTACATCAATGAACATCTCAAACATGTCAGGAGGAAATAACCTGCATTTAAGAAATCTCAGTGTCAGTAAGTCACAAAAATTTTGACATTAAACGAGAGACACAAATTTATAGGGCCGGAAAAGTAAGTACAATTTTTCTGCACTCAGTTAAATCCATGAAGGTATTCAAGTACAGAAGCATAAAAAAGGAGCAGGAATAGGCAATTCGGCCCTTCGAGCCTGTTCCACCATTCAATATGATCATCTAACACAGTGCCTTGTTCCCACTTTCTGCCCATACTCTTCAATCTCTTTAGCCCGAAGAACTATACCGAACACTTTCTTGAAAATATTCAATGTTTTGGCCTGAACCCCCTTCTGTGGCACAGAATTCCACAGGCTCACCATCTTCTGGGTGAAGAAATTTCTCCTCATTTCAGCCATAAAAGACCTATCCTGTATCCTTAAATTATGACCCCAGGTTTTTGAAACCCTGGTTATTGGGAACATCCCTCTTGTATTTGCCCTGTCCTGTTAGAATTATATAGGTTTCTATAGGATCCCCCTCAGTCTTCTAAGCTCCAATGTATACAGTCCTAACTGATCCGGTCTCTTTTTATACATCAAGTCCTGCCATCCCAGGAATTTATCTAATAAACCTTTGTTGTACTGGCTCCACAGCCAGAACATCCCTTCCTCAGATAAAGCTGCATTCAGTACTCCAGGTGTGATCTCACTAAAGCCCTGTAGAATTACAACAAGAAATCCCATTCTTGTTCTTGAATTCTCTTGTTACAAAGGCCAAAATACCATTTGCCTTCTTCAACACCTGTTAGACCTATTGCTTACTTTCAGCACCGGGTGTACAAGGACACCAGGTCTTGTGCCTTTCTATTTCCCATCTATAGCATTCTGATAATAATCTTCCTTCCTGATTTTGCTACCAAAGTGGATAAACTCACACCTATTCACGTTATGTTTCATCTGCCATGCAGTTGTTCACTCTCAGCTTTTCCAGATCACAGTAAAACATCTGTGCATGCTCCTCACAGCTCTCTTTCCCATCCAGCTTTGTTTCATCTGCAAATTTGGAGGCATTATATTTAGTTCCCTCATTTAAATCTTTAATATATATTGTGCTTAGCCGAGGTTTAAATACTGACACCTACAGTACTCCACTCGTCACTGTCTGCCATGCAGAAAAGGACCTGTATTCCTATTATTTGTTTCCTGTCTGCCAACCAGTTCTTTATACAAGCTAGCACAATACCCCCAACCCCATGTGTTTAATTTTATACGCCAATCTCTTATGTGGGACCTTATCAAAAGTCTTCTGAAAATCCAAGTAAACCACATCCATTGGCACCCCCTTATCAACTTTACTGGTTACATCCTTGTAAAATTCTATTAGATTTATCAAGCATGATTTTCTTTTCATAAATCCATGCTGACTCTGTCCAATTCTGTCACTGTTTTCTAAGTGTTCTGCCATTAATTCTTTCATAATGGACTGTAGCATTTTCCCCACTAACAATGTCAGACTAACCAGCTTATAATTCCCTGTTTTCTCTCAAAGGTCTTTTTTAAATAGTGAGGTTGTATTAGCAACCCTTCAATCCATAGGAACTGTCCCACCATCTACAGAATCTTGAAAGATGATTACCAATACATCCACTTTTTCTCGGGCCACTTCCTGTAGTACTCTGGATGTAGATTATCAGGACCAGCATATTTATCAGCCTTTAATCCCACCAATTACCATTTCCCTACTCGTACTAATTTCCTTCAGCTCTTCTCTCTCACTGGACCCTGTGTTTGCCACATTTTTGAGACATCACCTGTGTCCTCCTTTGCAATGAAAAAACCAAAATATGTATTTAGTTCCCATTTCTTTGTTCCCCATCGTAACTTGCCCTGTTGCTGATTGTAAAGGACCTATATTTGGCTTCACTAATCTTTTTCTCTTCATATAGGTATAGAAGCTTTTACAATCAGTTTGTAAGTTCTCTGCATGCTTACTCTCAAACACTACTTTCCCCTCTAATTCAAGCCCTGTGTCATCCTTTGCTGAAATCTAAACTGCTCCCAATCCTCAGGTCTGCTGCTGTTTTTGGCCAATTTTATTAGCCTGGATCTACTATTATCCCTAATATCCCTTGTTAGCAATGATTGCATCACCTTCCATGTTTTATTTTTGTGCCAGACAGAAACAAGAAATTGTTGCAGTCCATCCATGAGCTCTTCAAATATTTGCCATTTTCTATCCATCATCATCCTTTTAAGTTGCATCCCCCATAGCCACCTCACAATTGTAGTTTCTTTTATTTAGATTCAAGATCCTAGTCTCAAAATCAACAATGTCACTCTCTACCTGAATAAAGAATTCTATCAAATTATGGTCACTCTTTCACAAGGGACCTCGTGCACTAGATTGTCAACATATCATTAGATATGAAAAATTCTTGAGTAAGGACTGTGTCTCTCTACTTTGTGTTTTTTAAAAACTGGGGACTGAAATGAGAAAGAACTGTTTTTAAAAAGAGTATTGAAATGAGTGGTTGCTGTTTTGAAAACAAGTGACTTGATGCTCATGGCAGACATTGTAATCAACTGCTTGAACAAGCAGTAATTGAAGTTCAGACAGTCTGAAGCCAAGCATCAGTACTGATGCAGCTCATGTTGGCAACAAAAGTTGACTGATCTCTGGACTAGTGACAGTTATCAATGACAGAAGCCATTTGCTTGCCAACAACTGTGTGATTGGTTTGTGAGTAGCTGAGCAATTTAGAGCTGGAAACAAGTTACAGCGACAGTAAGAGGGAGAAAAAGAAATGTGCAAATCTGTTCCCATTTCAGAAGCTGCCTGTTCCCTGGGGTCAAAAACTTAGTTTGAATCTGGAAGAAAACTAGTAATCTTTCCTAAAGTAGTCACTGCAAGCTATATCTTTTGAATTGATAAATCAGAGCCATATTCAAAGTGTATCAGCTGCTCTGTACTTCTTACAAGCCAGTGGAAGCAACCAGAAAAAAGACATCTAAACAACAAAGCGTCTGGCTACTTGAAGAAGGATCATTGACACACTGGAACTGGGAAGCAAAGACCACTGAACTGACTTCCCAGTTTTGCTATCTCTACCAATAATCTATATTCTCCATTTGCTTGCTTGTGTGTGTGCGCGTGCGTGTGTGCATGCGTGCGTGTGTGCATGCATGCGTGTGCCTGTGTGTATGTGTGTGTAAAAAAAGGAGACTTTCTTAGGGTTTAGAGTGTTAGTAGTGTTATATGCCAACAATTTGTATCTGTTTATTTGTAACAGTAGTCAAAATACTTGTAATAAATTATAATCTGGCCTGTGCTTTCTATCAACCTTGGTCTTAAAGTCAGGCAAATTGGGGTACTGTGCATACTTTAAAAGAAAACTTTAACATATGGTACAACTACAGGAAAAGCCGAACTCAATTTATGGCTTACTAGCCCACTTGCTGTTGCATGTACTAATCTACTCCAACATACAAGACGTCAAACTGAAAAAAACAGATGGTCCCAAAATACATGTGGCCTGATTTTTGAGTGCTGAATCATAATTTGTAGTATAATCAACCTGTTCTGAACGAGGTGGGTAAGACACAAGATTTGTTGACAGATCTTATCTGAATGATTTTCGTGCTATTTCCTGTACCTCCAGGCAAATTCTGCACAGCAAGTGTGAGAAAGGCAATTAGAAGAATAGAGTGAGAGTTTAGGAGTCAGAGGGCACAAAATAGTGCTTTATAACAAGTAGTTTCAAATACCTAATTCAAACAACTACAACAATAATCATAAAACGTAATGCAAATAGCTTACGTATTCCTAAGACTTTTGTAGCATGAGTTGCAAAAAAATGGAAATGCCTGAAAGGGAGGTGACGTTTGATTTTTAACTTGCAAAAGATAGATGAATTTTCAAAGCTTCACAGCCACATCTGTGCTGTTGTTCAACAACAGAAGATGAGAGATGATGATTATTGAAAAGTTAGCAATGTTGTTTCCTCCTTTGTGGTGAGTCTCTTTCTCAAACGCAGCAATGGATGGATAACAAATGGCTTTGATAATGACTGCCATATTCCCAGAATGAGCTTAAACAAAACATGATTTTAGGTAGCTGGTGAATTGGAGTTGGGAGTTGGGAGTGTAAACGATGGAAATTCACACTTGGCTCCTGTTTGATCACTCTCTGGCTGGAAAATGCACGTTGTGAACAATAAAGTATTTTTGAAAAATAAAGTTATTGGTTGCTGATAGAAAATATTAAAAAGTGGAAATCAACACTGTGTATGGAGACAAATATACATGATTCAAAATAGCTTAATCAGACAATGCTATAAATTTTAAATCATAAATTGTAATATAAAAGTATTTTTAGCAAAACAGTGTATTTTCTACTCAGAGAATCACCTTGAGGAGAATGTTACAGACACAGGTTATCCAGAGTAGCAATGACAGAAAGCAACAGCATAAATTACATACTTTGATTTTATAGTTTTTTGATAGAACAGGGTAGTACTGAACTAAATAAAAAGCTAAGCTGCTGATCCCAATCTTGAGTTATGACAAAGTAGCAAACAGAATGTTTCTCTACAGAAGTGTGAAAATCACAGATTAAATAACCTGTACAGTATTTTCCATTTTAACTTGCTTAAGAATGACTGAAATTTTAGATTAACAAAATAAAGAGGTTGAATGCCAATGCATAGGTGATAAATACATTTGTATATCGTACCTTTTGAACAATTGCCTGTTCCTTTCCATGCTGAACAGAAAACGCAAAGCTCTAAAAGCATAGCACTGTAATGGAAATATTTTAATTACTGTATGTAAGTATCTTTATATTAATGAATTAAATTGCATAGAGACATTGAAACACGTAGAGTACAAATTTCTGAGCATATAAAAAGGCAGATGCTACTGTAACATAAAAAGCAAATTACTTTATGAGACACACAGAGAAAAATTACAGCATTTTCCCCAGACATTTCATTTTGTTATTGTTAAACCAAACTAAAAATAGGTCTAACTTTCATTGAAAAATCTCTACTCCAAGGAAGACGTTTTTCCAATCGTACAGATGAGTTATATTACAGAAACTAACTTACAATATTATGACAGTCATCTCTTGCTGTAGTCTGAGAAACAAATTTACATTCAAATAGCAAGACAGACATATGTCATCTGCATAGTCAACATAATTTAAACAAGAGGGCTTAGCAACTCAGTGCAATTCATTCCTCCATGGAACGAACTGGAATGCATTCATATATCCAACAATGCAAAACCCTGTCAATCTCTAAACTAGTTGTTTCAACAAAACAAATCAAATTCAAAATCTTGTGGATTTTTTTTTACCAAAAGAAATACTGAAAGCATACAGATTTTAAAAAGAATAAAATTGTTATTGTAAGAAAAATACCTGCAAGGTATCTGCTTTTAGTGCATTCTTTTGTTTTCTTGGCAGGATTAGCTTCCCTATCACATAAATGCCATTCCCCTAAATAAAGAATTTAAAGAAATATAACAAAAATATTAAGCTCTATATTCCCAATATTCAATTAAATGTTCAGCATGAACATTCCCAGTGCTAAAGATTTCAAGCTTGATTCCTGATCAATATTGCATTGACCTCAGCTAAGATGACAATAGGACTGCTACAACCAGAATACCCTGTAGTGCAGATAGAGTATCTCTATTCCTAATTTCTACAGAGTGCCCCTTAACAAAGAGTACACTTGTGAGACATTGGACAAGAATAGAATCAAGCTCAGCTAGTTAAACTTCATAGCTAATAACTTGTCAACTTGGATGAAGTTGGTACTTATTCTTTTAAAATTCTGTATCTTTTAGACAACTATTGCCAAGTTTGATTGGTGTTTGGAAATTCCATGTGCTGATCATGCAAATATCCTCATAATGTTGTATACTACCAATATCTTTGGACTATTGTTATGAACCTCTTACAGACTGTTTAAAGAGGAATCCAAACACTCGGTGAACAATTGAAAGAACAAAGATAAATGGAAATGATCTTTACTTATATGCTTACATTTAAAGTGAATATTGAGAAGGCAAACCTTAGGCCACAAAACAATATAGAAGGATGGTTAGATGGACTGAACAGCGAGAATTGGAATTTAATCCTGAAAAGTGAAAGGTGACACATTTTGGAGGACTAACAAGGCAAGGGAGTACATGACGAATGATTGTATCCTAGGAAGTACAGAGGATCACAGCGACTTTGGTGTCCATGTCCTTTGATCCTTGGAGGCAGCAGGACTGGTGGACATGTTGGATAAGAAGGAATAGGGGAAACATGCCTTTATTGAAGGTTAGATTGGAGTTGTATAAAACATTAGTTAGCCTACAGCTGGAGTACTGTGTGCAGTTTTGGTCATCACACTATAGGAAGGATGTGATTGCATTAGAGAAGGTGTAGAGGAGATTCATCAGCATGTTACCTGGGCTGGAGTGATTCCATCATGAGGACAGACTACATTGGCTGGGGTTGTTTACCTTCGAGCAGAGAAGGCTGAGGGAGAATATGATTGATGTGTACAAAAATAAGAAGGGCATAGATTGGTTAGATAGGAAGAAATTTCTCCCCTGAGTAGAAGGGTCATAATCAGGCAGCATATACAGCAAACTTTGTTTTAGCTGGCAGCTTAGGAACCGGTACTCTCCTTAAACTGGCAAAAATGATATACCTCAAATACCGAAGTTTTCTGTATTATTGCGATCTCCGCAATGTCTGAGTAGTCAGATGAGGGTGCGAATGAGAAGGCTGTCTGCCAGTAAGTTTTACTTAAGGCAAAGTTGCATTATTATTTAAGTGATTTATGCTGTAAATAAAGTATAACAGTGATGTATATACCTCCTATGTTACACTTCTATTACTTAGTGTGTTTTTTATATTGATTACGTGGAACTCTTGATCAACCAGAATATTTGATCAGCTGGTACACTCCTGGTGCCATAGGTGCTGGTTAATAAAAACAGTTTGATGTTTATAAGATAAGGAACAAAAGGTTAGATGGATTTTGAGGAAAAACGTTTTTACCTTGTGGGAAGAGTGGGGATATTTGCAACTCACTGCCTGAAAGGTTGAGTAATTCAGTGCTTGAGGAGTGATGTGGATATGAAGAATTGAAGGACTCTTTCAGTGCTGTAAAACTCTATGATTCTATGACTTTAATGCAAACACAAATAATTTAACACTATTGTTTGTAACTAATTATGTGATTAACTCCGTTGTACTTTATTTACATCCCCTTAAGATATCCCTAAAATATTATATGAATCTTGAAGTTGCATTCACCCCTTTAGTCAATCCAAAGGTATACAACACCTCTCTGGTGTTGTATACCTTAATTCTCACTTTAATTTTCCTGTGTTCCAGCTATTCTCCAAGGTAAGATTTTATGGCAGTGCTTCCATTAGCTTTTTGACTAAGTAACCCTACCACTTTCTTTAAATCCTTGTGACAAAAATCCCTCAGTTTCTCATGCTGGTTATTGGCAGATAACCAACTGCCTTATCATAGTCCTCCAAGCTAACTTTGTTAACTGCCTTGTATCATAAGGTTCTGTGAGGACCTTTGTAGATTTCTTTCTTCAGGTTCAAATTAAGTAAACATTCTATCTTTCCCCATCATGAATTCTCAACTGAGCCTGAGCACTTATCCTCATTCCATGCAGTAAATGATCAAGTTAGTATTTTCTTTGCTTAAGGTGCAGGTATGACAAATGTGCATCTCTTTTGTCTCTCCTAATTACTGATCTGAAATCCATACCAAGTTAAAAGTACAACTCCCTACTTTCTGTTTGTAAACACAAAGATAAATAAAGGAAACTTCTAATCCCAACAACCCAACTTCAGGAGAAAGTACCATGCTTTGAGACATTCTTAAACAGAAATGGAAAATAATTATTTTACTTTCAACACAACTCTCTTATTATGTAACCTACATGAATAATTTAACTTGATAATAGATGTGATTGCTCTCTCTACATACTTGCTGCATCCTATAAGGGAACCCCTTTAGTTTACAAGCAGGTATCTTGTTTTTGAACTGGGAACTGCATATATGATTTAAATTTTCATTTTGTAAAGGTAGACCTTCTAGCTTCATTAAACTAAGAATATCCACTACCCTTAATTGCTATTACTTCTGATCTTGCAAATTAAACATTGGTTAACTATTAAATCTATTAAATCCAAGTTTGTTTTGAATTGCATTCACTTGAAATGCATACTAATTTCTTAATAGGATGTTTCCATTCATTTTACATATAATACTTTAATTTCTAAAATAAAAATTTATATTCTAATACATATGGATTATAAACATAAAAACCAAAAGAATTATGGATGCTGTAAATCAGGAAAAAAGCAAAGTTGCTGTAAAAGCGCAGCAGCTCTGACAGCATCTGTGAAGGAGAAAACAGAATTAACATTTCGGGTCAGGTGACCCTTCCTCAGAACTGATGGTGGCTGGGAAAACGTCAGTTTATATGCAGAAAATAGGGAGGTGGGTGGGGTAGGGAGTAAACGATAGGATAGAGCCCAAAGAAAGAGAAAGACAGTTGGACAGACAAAGGAGTTGCTAACGATCAGGCTGGGAGGGTGAATAGTTGTTAATGGAGTTATAAACATGATTGTCTCAACATCATATGAAGCAGCGTGCCTGATCATTGCAACTGTTCAGTTGCCATTAAAACTGCCTTAAAATTGACTCTTCATAAATTTCCACTTTGGGATGGTGAGTGGCTTGGAGGGGCACTTACAGTTGATGGTGCTCCTATGTATCCATTGCCCTTAGCCTCCTACATAAGAAGTGGTCGTGAGGTAGAAAGATGTTGCTTCAGAAGCCTTGGTGAATAGGTACTTGAAAGGATTTCTACTGGAGTAGTTTCTTTTTTCTTTCTCATACCAATGATGATGAATTTATTAGATTGTTAGAGGTTTAATTTTTCCCAATCATTTTAAAATAAGTTCCATTATTATTATATAGTTCTTAATAACTGTACAGTATGGATAATGGATGATTGACTAGTGAGGCAACATGAGGAGTATGGAGGTGGCATGGGAGAGCTGAGGTGATATGGACTGTCATGAGAGGTGGAGGGGGTGGGTGAAATTTACAGGCCTTTAAATAATGTTAGGAGCTAGCTGCTGCAATTGAGAACCAAGGAAAATTCTGTAGGCTGCCTCGGTAGCCTAACTCCATATGGATTCCATTTTAGTTCACAAAATACACCAAAAAACTTGACAAATGTGAAATCACAAAAGAAGTGAAAAGGTTACACGTGGATTGGCTGTGAATTTTGGAAGATGTCAAAGTACTTATTTCAGATTTTCCTCAGCCTTTAGGAAAATATAGTCAATCAACATAATACAATCGATCAATCTGTTAATTCCTTATTTAAATCTAAAGAATAACGTTCAGTAAACAGATGAGGAGTTTCCATATGGCAGCTTTGCATATGCTATTAATTGGGCCTTGACAGATGCAAAGACAATTGAATGAGTCAAGGTTGCTCTGAACACCTTCACTGAAAAAGAGCATTTGTGTAGGATTCATTAAACAATATATTTACAACACAATAGCTGACACTCTATCCTCTTTCATGATGAATGAGATGCTACACAACAGAATAGAGCAGTATCAGTGGGGAACAAGGACTTCTTCATCTTCTGAGTGCTACAGAGGAGATGACAGCAGCAGCAGAACCTGGGGACAGAATGTTGAGAATATAGTTCTATTCCTGCCTTATGTTCTTCTCAATTCTTAGTTTGCCACCATCCAATTGATGGATCTCTTGTTTTCAACACCAACCCCTTTCCTCCAATCCCAAACTCCCTTTCTGATTTTCCAATTTCAGCCATCCAAAACTGCAGCGTACTCAGCCACGTTAGCTGGAGGAGGAAGAGAGGGAACAACGCTGATGAAGAGGGTGCATCACTAGATCCGACACACAGAGACACAAACTCAACTACTTAGAGGACAGCATAGAATTTGAAGCCAATCATGAAGAATTACTGGACACAAATTGGATGTAGTTACCCCAGGAAAAAGGATGTTTCACCTGCCAGCTTACCAGAGAGTGAGCTGAAGACAGGATCCTCTGCAGAGGACTCCGGAGATGACCTCAATAGGTGGTATTCAGAGAAATGCTGCCGGGCATACATACCAAGATTCTGGGTGCATTGGTTGGCCTATGCAGATAGTCTCATCAGTGTCAAGGGTGTAGAGGAGTCCTGCGCCAAGTTGGCAGAGCCACCATGGAGAGCATGTTCTGTCCACAGCCTATGTTCCATCCTCCTGGTGTGCTGCAGATCCACAGGCATTGCAACTATCACTGTCTTTATCCAACAGGCCACCTTTGAACTTACTAAAACTCCTCCAAAAACATTCCAGTTTGCTTTCAGAGACTTTGTTATGTCTGTTCTGAGGTTACAGATGTGGTTGCAGCAAATGGGTGATGTAAAAGAGAAAGTCCATAGACCTGTCATACATTGTTCAAACAGGCAAGTTTCTCTTTGAACACCTTGAGGAATTACAGCCTTCTGCTGAAAGCTCCTCTCCTCTACCGCTTCTTTCATTTTCCTGCTTTATTCTATTCATTCGCCAAGTCATGTTTTATTTTGAGGGGAGTAGCTCCTAACTCCTAACTGTGTCTGGGACAATTGGTTTGTGAAAAAATCTTGGAAAAAGCAAACATCCTTTAACACTTGTACACTTTTGCAACTGAAATAACCATTAAAAAATAACAACAGATGTAGAATTGTAGCACCAGGCAAAGTAACTCAAGCAGTAGCTAACCTATATGATCCTTTTAAACAATGCTGCTGGAGGCAGACTCTTTCTACTGCTGTTCAATGTTAAAACAATGAGCTCTAAAATGGAACCTTGGAGTCAAATTGCATGCATACTGAATTATACTATGATGTATCTGCTACCAATACTTTCATTGGGTATTCATGTACCGTGTGTTAATCCATGCACCAGTATGGGGTCCTGAGCAATCCCACCAACAAATAGATATGTGCACTGCAGTTAGAAATTTGGAACTCTGAGGGATCTCATAGTGCCCAAAACATGTGCACAAAAGAATTCACTTTCTCGCACCTAATTCCAGCTCCCAAATGTTATTCATAAGTTCATTAATTATTGTGTTTTATATGCACTTTTTGCAGATAATGTTGTGGAAGTTCTAGATAAGTAATCTGACAAATCCCAAAATATTTGTGCAATGATTTCTGCAAGCCTTTTTTTCCTGAAAAAAAATTCTACTGTGCACACCCCCAAGATCCAGTGTAGCAGTGACTTTTGCATGTGGATAACAAAGCGTCCGCACATCAATCAGTGTGCTTGTGACCTCCAAGTTGCTGCACGGTCAGGCAGCTTAGAGGGAACATTAACTGCAAGTACATCCTGGAGGTACTCAAAAAACTTAGGATAAGCCTCATCCAACCCATCTGGTTCTCTCATTATATTGAAGTCTCCAACCTAAGTAATAAGCAAGTAGTAATGCTAATTCCATTACGTCTCTAATTCTTACTATCTAGGAACAGCCATTTTGTTGCAGACAATATACTCTTCCTCTTGTAAATATGAACCTAAAGAACTCATTCCACTTTTCAGCTCTGCCCACATCTTCACTAATCTTACCGCAATTTCAGAAGCCAGCAGCTATATACTCTTCTTGTTAAAAATTTTTCTCCTGTTATTGCCATACAGTTCATGGAGATTTCATGATTTAAAGCAATATTCAGTTTAGAAAATAATAACTGATCTTAATTTTGAACATACCCACCTGTACAACCTGTTGAGCATTTGTATCATTAAGTACCAGCTCAGTGATAGCAGCACAACATGCTGAAATGACAAAATAGTCAGTGAGGAACTGACATTTGACAAAGAATTACAAACAGGTTTGATATATTAAATATTTCAAATAACAATACCCGAGAAAAGAATGTTTTACATTCCTGGAACATGTTACAGGCTGCTACTTATTGTTTATAATTTATAAATTTAACAGTACTTAACTATGGATTTGAAGTGTAAAGGTGCACATAATGGGTTGTTTAATTCCCAAAGTTAAACCATGTATTTTAAAACAAAGTTTACAGAAAGTAATGAAAATAAATAAATTGTGTCATTGTCAGAGTTAGTGGGACAGAAATTTGTTAGAGTCATGGAGATTTTACAGCACATAACGAGGCTCTTTGGTCCATTGGATCATCAAATATCCATCTATTCTAATCCCATTTTTCATCACTTGGCCCTGGCCTTGCACATCATGGCATTTCAAGCTCTCATCTAAATAATTCTCAAATGTCTTGATGATTTCTATCTCTACCACCCCTTCAGGCAGTGAGTTTCAGATGGCCGCAACAATCTGGGTGAATCTTTTATTCCTCAAATCCCCTCTAAAATCCTACTCCTTAACTTAAAACTGCACTTGTTAATAAGTGACTCCTCTGCTAAGGGAAAATGTTTCCACCTATATAGCCTGTCTATGCTCCACAGAACTTCATACATCTCTTTCAGATTCCCCCTCAGCCTTCTATGCTCTTAAAGAAATCAACCCCAGCCTATTTAGTCTCTCTTCATAGCTGAAAAACTCCAGCCTAGACAACATCTCGTTAAATCTCTTCTGCACCTCCTCTAGTATAATCACATCCTCCCTACAGTGAGATGACCAGAACTGCACACATTATTCCAGGTGTGGTTTAACTAATTTTATATATAACTTCATTGTAACCTCCTTGCCCTTGATATCAATACCTTGACTAATAAATGCAAGTAACCCTTATGCCTTTTCAATCACCTTATCTAACTGTTCTGATGCCTTCAAGGATCAATGAACATGCACACCAAGGTTCCTCCGATCCTCGTAACTTCCTAGGGTCCTACCATTCAACTCCCTTATCTTGCCAACTCTCCCAGATTCATTTTCAGGATGAAATTCCATTGCCACTGGTGTTCAGCCCACCAATCCAGAGATTGCAACCATTGACGTCTTGCCTTTTAACCTGCTACCTTGCTTCCCAAATTCTTGTTGCAGGACATCATCCCTTTTCTACCAATGACATTGGTCACAAAAGATCATTACACATGGACCCAGCAGTGCTTGTGTCTGGATTGCCCAGACATATTGAGAGTCTTCTTGATAGAGGTAAGTGGATGCTACTTGGCTTCAACTTCCAACGGGTGGGGGGGAGTAAGCAGGATGGATGAGGGACCCCCAGCCACCTCTGGATTGTCCTGAGGGGAGATGACCAAGGGGTCTGTGAATGGATTCTCTTCTGGCTGGATGCTTTTATGGCACTGCCATGTCTTCTTGTGGATAATTTCCTTCCTGGAGCTTCAGCAACTGCCTCATTTCTGGCAATCCTCTGAGTGCCAGCAGCTTTGGGCTTTTCTTCTTTGGCTGTTTGCGGAGCTGTCACAGTGCGATGTTCACCAGTATGTGCTCCTAAACTGTCTAAGGCCAACATTCCCACCAGCGTGTCAGTGCCTGAGGTGGTGGGAGTGCAGAAGGCAGCTTTGCAAACCTTTCCTCTAACACCTTGGTACTCCTGCTTTCAGAACTTGAGCAAGTGGCAGACCTGGCTGTTTTTCCACAGACGTACCTGCAAGTCAAAAAAGAATTAAGGCATAGTAGCTAATGGTTGGAAGTGGTGAGCAAAGCAGAAGACTATCAGCAGGGTTGATGCGAAAGTTGCAATAGAATGAAGAATGATACTTACTTGGTTGGTAGGTCATTGTTATCTCAGCATGGAGCTGTCACATTCTTCTATGAGGGTAAGGATTCTCTCCTCACAGCCTATGAAGAGTCTATTGTCAGACATTCCTATATCCACCTGGGCCCTGTCTCGAGTGAGCTGAAAGTGAGTGATGTGGCTGTTAGTACTGGTACAGATAGAGGATAGGTCATGCAGTGTCCCTTGCGAGTGAGTAGGCACAGCAGAGGCAATGCAAAGTTAGTGTTGTGGGAGATTGTGGGTTGAAAGCAAGTGAGGAAAGATGTTGAAAGCAGAGAATGAGCCTTGATGGGAAGTGGGTGCAGTAGCTAAGATAGAGTGAGTGCGAGGTAGTTGAGAGAAGAGTGCGATACTTACCCTGACAGAGCAGAGAGGTCACTGACTTTCTGGCAGCAATACTGGCCATTCCTCCTCACCATAGAGAGTGCACTGACCCAGTGGCAATCTCTGACCAGGCTGCAGAGTCTGATGCTATGGTTTCCTCTGCCTGGCCATCGGACAGAGGACATCCTCCTTTGCACCACCCCATCTCCCAGCACCTCCAGGTCTCTTTTGGAGAATCACATCATCATCTTCCTCTTTGCCAACATCTTCACACTGTGTCCATGACCAAACAGATCTACTTCAAAAAGCCAGTGCTCATCCAGATGCAGAATAGCACAGGTGCCAAGGATGCTAGTCTTTCATGGATATTCAATGAGTGGTGACTTCTTTCAGGAATGGCAAGTGTTAAGATGGGAATAGAATTAGATATGAAGGATGCCGTAGGACCAGGATAGGTAGTTAATGAAACAAATTTGGTAAGATGCTGAGCGAAATCATGTAATTTGCACTTATCCAAAAGATGTATGATTCAGCCCCTTGTGTTTGGCTCCTCACTACTACAAATCACTAAACTACATTTTAATTGGAAAAAGGTACAGCCTCATGTTGAAAAGAACATAAATTCTTGTTGCAGCCAAATGAGGAAAACGGAAACTCAGGAGCTGATTCACTTTCCTTACATGATTGGAACAGTGTCAGTAATGAATCTATATGCTAGATCTCCAGTTCATTGGAAAATACTATACCTTCTTGCAAAGATAATGTATTCTCTTGAATTTCTTGTATGCTTAGTTTCTCAGACAGCTGAAGTTGTTGAATTCTTCCTGAAGCATTAGCACTAGACAAACTTCCAATTGAAGAACGATCTGATACAAAATTTCTATCTCTAAAAATACACAAAAAAGAAGTTTCTATGAATCAACAGACACATATATGCATAAGAACAATATGAAGCAGTTTAATTTGGCTATTATACTTGCTCGCTCTTTCCAAAACTATGAAAAAATGTCAGATATCTTTCTCCGTAATCACATTAATGTTCTGTTATCAGATAGAAGCTTTACATTGTGAACACTACTGTTTCATTGTAGAAGTAATGTAATATAATGGATTGGATCTAGTATAGCATCATTCTACTAGCAAATAACATGCAAAAAATTATACTCTAAACAGCCTGTACATCTAGCTTCAAATTTGACTAATTTTGTGAACCTTTGGCCCACATACCAACTATGTGATGTAAAAAGGATCTTAAATTGTACAGTAAAATCAAAAGATATTTTTAAAAATGATGTTGGACCATGTTTTGGAGGAACCGATTCGATGTACAATAGCTCAAAGGGTTTCTCCAAAGAGGAATTATAGACCACAAGAAGCAGCAAAGTTACTTAATGCATGGAGTAGACGAATTTCCAATGCTAAGGAAAATGCTTGAAATTTAAAGGCAAGTGTTGATGATGACAAAAAAAATCTGCAAGGGGATATAGAGATAACAAGGTGTAGAGTTGGATGAACACAGCAGGCCAAGCAGCATCAGAGGAGCAGGAAGGCTGACGTTTCGGGCCTAGACCCTTCTTCAGACCCTTCTAATCCCATTT